CCAATGCTTATGCTCCCCGTTTATCAAAACTCTATCTTTTGCCTCACTGAGTTGGTTTCCAACTTTTAGGTGGCCACAAAGATTTCATTTAAGGATCTCACATACAATTCTTCTTCCTATATTTGCTTGTGGAACTTTCTCTACTCTACCCATACACCTTACATTTACAAGAGATGAAGATGGGTGATCTAGTTCCTGACCTTTTTTCGACTAGTGGCAAATTAAGGCATAACGAGTTTGGGGGATTGTGACCAAATTTACTTGTGTTGGTGAGGTCGATAGCTCTTTTTTTGGTTTTTGAATTTTGATATTGGGGACAATCTCTTTTAAAGAACTTATAAAGAGTTAAATCTATCTCTTAACTTATTTAATGTTAAGTCTTATTATTATATACTTTTTCCATTCTTCAATATCTGTCGTTTAAGGTTTTTGCACAGGGATTAAGTAAGTGATTAAATAGCTCTAATATGAGTAAAAAATAATTGCACAAGACTAAAATACTCTTATTCAATACGTATTAGGAATGAAAGGAATATGAAATGCACTTATACTCCGTTTGGTACGATGGAAAAGTGGGAGGATGAAAAGTTGGAGGAATGGAAAGTTGGAATGATAAATAAAACATCATGTTTAGTAAGGAAGGAAAGTAGAAAGAATAGAAAAGTGGATAGATTAACTTTCTTTTCAACTCACCAAAATCAATCCCTCCAAAATCGAAAGGAAAGTGGATGAAAAATTAATTATTTGTATTGAGATGTATCTTATTTGTCTATATATTTTATGTATATATTAATTTCATATAAATTCAATGGTAAAATATGTATAGATATTTTAAAAAAATTTAAAAATAAATTTAAAAAAAAAAATTTTAATAATAAATTAAAAAATTTTAATTAAAAAATATATATTTTTTCCATCTTAACTAAAGAGTGAAAATTTTCGACTCAACACGATGACACGACTTGAACTCGATACGAAAATAAACAGGTCAACTTGCAACTCAACACGACATAATTAGTTAAATGAGTTAAGTTAGATTTGACTAATATTCGATACAAACTCGTAATGATTTAACAAGAATCTGACACGACATGACTCGACTCGATTGTTACCCCTAATCTTAGCCAGCACCAAAAACAAAAAAAATAGTCATTTTTATTTTCTACTTTCATCTTTGAAAGATATAAAATATATTGCTCTTACTGTCCATCCTCCCTACCAAACGGAGCATTAATCTCCACCAAATCTAATGCATTGAAAAGTTAAAGGTAAATTTGAAAGAAAAAATATTAATTATGTTTTGGTTTCATTAAACGACAGATATTATGGAACAAAAAAAATTGTGTAAAACGATAAATATTTAGGAACGGATGAAGTATTTAGTAACTAGTTAGATCCAAAAAAAAAATGTTAATACAAAAATGTCCTTATTATTACATTCAAAGAATATTTCAATGTAAAAATAATTTCCAAGCTGGGAAACCAATTACCTATACATTACGATGAATTGAGATCTTTTATATTTTTTTTTCATAAAATTTGAAATTCAAATTGAAGAGTAGATATTATCTATCTTCTCTTTGTGCCAATTCCCCCCCCCCCCCCCCCCCCCCATGCGACTCCCCAAGCTCTTCTCTATTTCTGTATCACTATTCCAATTCAAAATATTCTCAACAAACTGATCTCCAATTGAACTTAGAAGCGTAGGCTCGATACTTCAAATTGAATCAATTCCATATTTCTTCTACATTTCATACTTTTTCTTTTGAACTAGGAGGCCCCTAACAGGAAGAAATAGGATTTCAGAAGTTAACTTAATGCAAGCCTATGGATATCATTAGTGGAATATCTCATAATTGGGAACTTATAATCCTTTTTGATGGTGCTTGTGAGTTCTTATTAGAAATAATTTTTGCTCGTGTTCTCTTTTTTTTTTTTGAGCTAATATCACTTTATACCTTGAAAGATGTTTCGATTCTCAATTTACAATCTCAAATATTAAAAATTTTATTTAGTACCCTCAATGCTATAAATTAATAACAATGTAAACCTTACCAAAACTACCGTTCAATTTTTTGTAATAAATTAAAACACGCAAGTTACAAGTCCTATAAATGAAGAACTTAATTAAGTGAAATGCTATGTTTTATTATATAAATTTTGTAATTGGTTTTTCTAGTATAAGGGTCACAGGAATTTTTAGTTTATGGACACTATGGGAGCTGAGTTTAACTGAGAGAGAACAAGTCCAACTCCAACACCACATGATTAATAAAAAGATCCAACTAGTGTCAATCCATCAGCCAAATCGATCGACTAATATTTCATAGAAAAGTAATGTTAGACTGATAAAAAAAAAAGACCCAAAACATAAATTGGGCGCCACGGTTTGGGGATAGAGGGGGTGGGGGCAGTACCAACCTAATTTTTGGCATCCTAAAATGCACCAAGCAGTAGCTCTTTGTTCCTCCAACAACAAAGATGAAAAGCCAAAAATAAATAAGATGAGAATTGATAAAATGTCTCTATTTCTGAAAAATAACAGCCAGATTACTAGCGATTAATCTATTTATATCTGTCCCTTATAGTTACAGTCACTCCAGGAAAGAATATTTATCAAGATAACTTTACAGTCTAAACATCATCCATATGATGATCGTTGTCGTTGTCACCATCATAATACTCATCATCACGCTGGATTTGCTTGTCTTGGGTGTGCTCTGAAAAGAAAATGTGGAAAAAAGTAGACAAGTAAGAATCATAAGCACAACACAGTTATAGTAGTGGGAAAAAGTTTGTCTATGCATGTTATTGTGGGACAAGTCTCACGATCCATGCGCTCATCAGGATTTTGCTCATCTTCATCAAAATCAGGAATGTAAAAATCAGGTGGAACCTGCAACAAAAAAGTGTACATTTTAGTCCACCATTCCAGAGAATGCATTTTATAACTAGTGTTCAAGCTCCTATCGACCGTGATCTTGGAGAGGTCCAAATAGCACACTCCCACAAGAATGTAAAGCACGCAAATGCTTTTGGCCACCAATCAGACTGCACATAAGGCTTAATTGTGTCTCACAAATCATCCTTTGAAGCAGTAATTTTTGTTTTAGGACATCCAATGTTGTGCATTTGACACAATATAGATAACATAAGGTGGGCTTTGTAAAAAAGATGATTCAAGACCAAACATTGTCAGTAATTATTTTTAAGATTGGAACAAATGATTATGGATTTGGAAAATAAATAAAATTTTCTCCCATGAGTGTTTTAGTTCCGATAAGGCTAGGTTAGCACAGGATCTCTAATTTAATTTGCAACAAATTCCTTCCAAACAGTGTGCAGAACCAAATGGAACTATTTTCTTTGGATTTCGTTAAGAAAACCAACTGAATTCTTTAGCTGGGCATTCATTGAATATAGATATGGCCCAGTGCATGAGGCTTCTGGTATTGATTGGTCTGAATAGGGTCAAATAATTGAATAAATTATGTTTAATAGGCCAGAACTGAAGTTCTTTTTGCTACTTTATGGCTCATGTCCAACATGAGTGCAAAGGCAAACCAATATTTACATGTTCAAAGCTGCCTCGATGAGGGGAGGGTTCATCTTGGGTTCAAATGTAGTTCACACAGCCTACCTAGCGTCTAGAGAGTGGATAGGCATAAGTAACAAAATTGAAAAAGAGACCTTAGCAAAGTGGATTATCATATGTTAGATTGGTTGAGAAACTTCTTGCATACGGCTTACCTCTTGCATCTGTACACTCGGAGCATGTTGGATGCAACGAAGATTTTCCAAAACTTGCATTTTGATAGTTCCAATATATGATTTGCTATTTAAATTCTCCTGTTCAATCAACAAATCAATGTCAATGACCTTCACCAAATTCCCCAAAGTGAAAATGCTCAGTGTAGTTCAGGCAGTGTAACATGAACCAATCCATATCATACTATAGATACATTTGCTAATAAATTGGCATCGCAAAAGGGACCTTGATCATTTAATTAAAAAACATGCAGCATAACTGAAAATGCAAGTTAAAAAAAACATACTATGTGCCCGTTTGGAATCTTCAATGAATTATCTGGCGCAAAATATTTAATATATTCATTTTCTGGGATCTCTGCAAGAAAAAGAGTATATTGGAGTATAACATATTAAGATGTGTAACTAAAATAGCAGTATTCTTCAACGATAACAAAAGATGCAGATTAAGGCATGTGCTACAATCAACTAACCGAAACATGATTTGATTAGTTTGATTTATCAGTGAACAAATAAAAAAATATCAACTACACAAATGAAACCCTGAAACAACAACGAGCTACAACTGTTATCAAACAAGCTCAAGCTCACATTTTATCTTTTTCACCTTTTCTCAACAATGAAATGATTTGCAAGAAAAGAACCAAAACAACCATTAGAACCACTAGTCTCAGAACCATAAATAAACAGGCTTACTCTTTCTTTAATTGAATCAAAATTCCAACCTGAATTCAGAGGTAGATGATACACTGTTCAAAAATCTGAGAATTCAAGGTCAATTATCATTGCCGTAAGCAATCTTACTATTGTGAGAAGAAATCATTTTTATTAAAAATAGTTGGTTTTCTGACCAGGCAGTGCCATTGCCTACTTGAAGAATGATATTGGTGTTTACAATTTTAACTTCTCTAACAGATAACATTACTTCTTTCAGTGGCTCAAATGGGCACCATTAGTATTTCTTCATTCAATTTGGACTAAATAATTAATGCCTACTATAATCTGTAGGAGAACCAATCAGTTATTTCTGTCATCGCCCCTCCACTTGTCAAAATTGGAATTGATGCTACCTAAATGCAACTCACAAAGATATACCACATATATAGCAACACTTGCCAAAATATATATTGTTGTCAACATTTGAGAGCGAGAAACCTTTTTTGCCAAATCCAAGAAGAAATCAACTGTATCACTAATTTTGCATACTAGATAGAAACAAAACGGTGCTGCCATACCATTGGGAAGCTCTGTGTCTAACAGAACTCCTGTCTCAAAAGTCCAACACCGAGCCACATTTTCTTTCGTATACCCCCCACCGCCAGTTACCTGAAGAAAGAAAAACATCCAATGTATGTCTAATATATGACAAGAATGAATTATGGTCAATTACCCAATATATATAATGGTGGGCAGATTTTTTAAAATCATAGACATACCAGCAGGGGCAAGTTAAATTTCTTCACAAACTTGACACATTCAGCGTGCCCTGTAAAAAGCAGTCCAACAGTACCAACCAACAAGTAAATATTAAACACGTCCTTTCCAATTAGCTCACCACTAATCAAAGATCGTCAAGGAAGAATCCACAATGGAATGTAAAACAATTGCAAACGATATTAAGGAAACTGGAAAAAAAACCAATTGCAAGTAGACTAGCACCATCAATGGAGAGATTGAAGCAGCCCAAGCGGTCCCCAGCAAGTGAATCTGCCCCACATTGGAGAACTATCACACCAGGTGAATATGTTTCAACCACCTTTGCAATAATCTACAGAAAGAAGATGTTGTAAGCCAAAGTTCATGTTGACACTATCAATTAATGAACACATGTCAATTCATAGAAGTCATGCTCACAGTAAAAGACTTACTGTTTTGAAGAGTCGGGTAAAGCTCGTGTCATCAATTCCATCCTTGAGAGGTACATTTATGGCATAAAATTTTCCTTCTCTTTCTCCTATTTCCTTCAATATAAATTAGACCCATGAATATGAATCTCAATTCTGACTAAAGATAAACAATAAATATGAGGGGATAAAAATACCTTCACATCACCAGTTCCAGGAAAGAACTTATCCCCATACTTGTGAAAACTAACAGTCATCACCCTGTCATGTTAAATCCAATCAATTTAATTCCGAGTTCTAAGAGAAATATACTGATTATTCAGAATGTAAGTATATGTTCAATAGGAAATCAAAGAGAAAGCTGTTTTTCCTACCATATTATCAACTATACCCAGGACTAGCAAATCAACTACACATTTCCAGAGTTGGCTAATATAAACCCGTGATAATGTCTAGAGGTAAAACCCGTAAAATTTTACAACAATACAAAATTAAAAAGGAAAAAACAGAGGTAAAAATCAAACCAAATGCACAAACAGAGAGGTGCAACAAAGCAAGCCTCAAATGTATCTTCTAATCTTAATGCATTTAACTAAATATTTCAGCCGTAGACGATTGGAACCTCAGAGTAATCAGATCAAAGTTTTCTAACCAATTGATCATTCTCAATGTAAAATCTTATAATTGATGGACATACAAGTTTCGGCACTGGGGCACGACAATTCCTATTTTGAGCAAAGTTCTAAGGCACCAGTTAGAAGCTTATTGGTTACGTACTTTCACTTGCAGTTCTAACATCGAAGACTCAATAGTCCACTGCAGCATTTGCTGTAATTGACCAATGCACTTTTCAGTTGCTTATATCAATGCATTTCTAACAATGACCAATAGCTGCAAGCTTCTTATGTCCACATTATCAAAATTCTCTTTAATGAAGAGATTGCAACAGCTTTGTCATCCATTTCAAGTCTCCATGTACTATTAAAGAAATATTTTCTTACCTATCCGTGAAATAAAAAGCCTCTTCTACACCATCACCATGATGCACATCAATATCAATATACAGAACACGGGCATGGTACTTTAGAAGCTCCAAAATCCCCAAAACCAAATCATTGATGTAACAAAATCCAGACGCCTCACACTTCTTGGCATGGTGCAATCCACCAGCCCAATTTATAGCAATATCACAAAGTTGATTGTTCAATCTGCGTGCAGCATCTGCCAAAAAAAACATTTGCCTATAGGTAACATAGAAGCAATTTCAAATTTGATCCCAATACTGAGATAAACTTTACCTATAGTTCCACCAGCATAAATTTGACAGAACTCAAACAAGTTTTCAAAAACAGGGCAATCTTCTCCAAGATTATCTGAAGAAAAAATAGAGCTATTAAATGTTTGTTATTACTCTATCAATCTTATCGAAAAGGCATTACTCAAATCAAGCATAAAGGTGATATTCGTAAATGATATTTATATAACCAAATGATCAATGGAAAAACTGGTAATATAGAAAGGTAATTCTTTTCTGGAAAGAAAAGAAATAAGGGAAACTTTACGTCTCAACGAATCAAATGTCGATAATACTGATAACACACGGAAATAACAATTACTTTATGTAATTGTTTTAACAACAATTTTTAGACCACTTAAGAATGAATACTGCAATTTCAATCTACCTAGAAATAGAGAGATAGCGACACAAAGAAAGGAGTCCTGTAAGTAGACAAAACACTCTTTAGACTTCTAGGATTTCATCAACTAATACTATTTATTTCACAACCTGCCCCACAATAGCTCAACCACTTTACCATACAAAGCAATTAGAGTCAAATCTAAATAATTTCAATAAAGTTACACCATGCACCTAAAAACTCAATAAGTGAACTCCCTCTGCTATTAGCACCCTGGCAATGACAATAAAACTAAGGAATTAAAAATACAACATAGAACTTAATATTTGCTCTAACTGCATCCAGTATCACATAATTGAAAACCATGATCAGCCTGCCCTAACAATTGCATAAAAGCGCAAAAGTTGTTGGATCCCATGCAAATGCACAGGCAAATTATACTAAATATATCATTAGCTTAAATACTATCATACATCATGCTAACAAATCAGAATTATACGTACATTAAACTTTCTAAAATATATATAAAAAAAACTACATACAATTGTTCCCGGTAATTTTATACCAAATGGGGGAAGTCAATTGACGAGAGGAAAGGGTGGTTAAGTGGGATACAAACTCTAATTGCATACAATTTGTGAAGCTGTACATTGATATGGATGACAGTTGGTAATTGTACATAAATCAGAACTTTATCCAACTAGAAAAATAAAAAAAAATTAAGTAAAGGCCAATTGGATGATACCACATAGCATTCTTAGAAATTTAAAAAATAAAAAATTTAGAAAATTAGTATTCAAGGTTTGAAGGCCATTGAAGGCTACTAAATTGTTATAGTATATCAGATTCCGTAATATACAACAGTAACACTCAAGGAAAGTTACCGACTTAGGGTGTTATCAGCTTCATATCGTCTCCTTCTTCACCATCTTTCAATTTACAATATAACAGAATTATGGATCTTTCGGAAAAAGCAAGCTTTACTTGCCTTTTGAGTAGAAGACAAGGATTTGCTCACAAAAGTAAGGATAATTAGCGACTTTTTTTACGAGAATCTTCTATTCTACCTTGTTTTTCAGACCATTTCCCCAACCCTTCCTAGTCTTCCAGTGAGACCCCAATCAGCACCGAGTTTCAAACATAAAGTTGTCACAAAATGATTAACTTGGTCCAAGTTTGTCATTTTACAGCATTAACTTGGTCCAAGTTTGTCATTTTGACAAATTTCCAATAACCTTTATAAAACAACTGATAAAATTCAACTCTTACATCTTGCCAATTCGTGCGAGAACAAGTGAAGTGTGTCAGGGGTAATCCGGTGCAAAAACTCCACATAATCGGCCGAATGGAACTGAGCTAGCTCAACAGGATATGCTTTGTGAGGCCTCTACATTGGACGTCAATATTCAATAACGTTATTAATACACATATTTCACATATACCAAACACTAAGTGAGTTAAAAGTTAACACTTTGAAAAACACAAATCAATAAATAAAAAACACTTACATAAATTTCCATTTTCTTGTGGAGCTCGTAGGATAGGACCAGGTGGTGAGTCATACATAACCTGTGGGGTTTCATCGGATGATTCGGCCCAAAGTATACACTTCCCACATCCCCTGCAATCACCTTCTCTAGAGTTAGTCAAATTTCTGTAACTCTTATAGAAATTAAAGTCCAAACTCAGTGCTCTCTCTCTCTCTCTCTCTCTCTCTCTATATATATATATATATATATATATATATATATATAAACACACACACACACACACACACACACGTATCACCACAGAGCTAGGGTTTCATACAGAAGAAGATCGAACCAAAATCAGGAGTAAAAATAGGAAAATCGAACCATCATAAAAGTAGGAGATTCTGTCCTTAGAACGCATTTTAGATGCGAGGCGGAGGAGAGAAGAGATGCGGAAGATACAAAGTTCACAGAAAATACGCCATTACCAGAGTCCCCAAGCTGCTGAGACCTGTCATCTGTATACATGAGGTGTAAGCGTAAGTCCATAGTTTTAAAACTCGGGCCCGGGCATCAACTTGGTAAAGGAACACAGTCAATGGGTTCCATTTAACTTATAAAGTTAAGTAGAGAAAAATGCTTAATCTGTATAAATCGAGCCAGTGTATAAATCATTGAATTAACCATCGAATCAGTGTATAAATCATTCAATTATTTAATGTATAAATTCGAACAAGAGCTTCCAGCCTTCCATCCATGTATAAATCATTGAATTATCAAAAAAGATTCAAGGCGTCATAGATTTCAATCTTTCAAATGTCTCCTCTTTCAGTATTTTCTTCGCGCTCCCGAGGACAAAAATTTCTACACCCACCAAAACCCAGTTTATTACAACCCAAATTTAACTTAACAACACACACACACACACACACACACACACACACACACATATATATATGGAGAGAGAGAGAGAGAAATTGTGTAGCCGAGAGTCAGAAACTAGGGAGTAAGTAGAAGATCGAAAGAGAGACCGAGAGAGAGAGAGAGAGAGAGAGTTTGTACCTGCAACTGTCAATGGTAGTCATCGAAGCCTCGATGGAAGCTCTGAAGCAGCCTTCTTGTTCGAAGCTCTTGTTCCTTCACTCGATCCACTTCGATTGAGGAGTCCTTTGCGCGCTTGCGTCGCAGAGAGAGAGAGAGGTGTCGGCTGAGAGGGTCGTCGACCGTCGAAAAGGCAGAGGTGCAGAGCAGTGGGTGTGTGTGCCTGGGGTGGGAAAGGCTTGAAACGATTTAGGGCAAAATGTCCAAAAGGGCCAAAGCTCAGAGTTTTATACTAATTTAATTGAGACAGCCGGTTTCATAAACTCGTCCGGTTTAACGGTTCAGTGGATTTTCATCCGGTTCAGCGGATGTAATCCGTTTTTGGTTTACTAACGATCTTATAAATGAATCGGCCCGGTTTAAGCTCCGGTTCACCGGGTCACCCTTCGGCCGGACCAGGTTTTAAAACAGATGATTTTGTTACATCCAAAAGACAACTTTACAGTTCAAAAAAAAAAGACAACTTTGTATCTGTTGTTACATTTAAGAAGATATCGTTTTTTAGTTCAATTCAATTAGCAATGTACAAGTGCGTTGTACGTGAATAATTTTTTTATATAAAATTTAATAAAAAAATTTAGATATATATGTACCTAAATTAAATATCATCTCAAATTTATAAAAATTATGTTTTTATTGTTTGTATTATATTATAGAATTTAAAAAATGATGTCTGTTTTCAATGATTCATTGTTTTAACTATAAGAAAAAATATAAAATTAATTTATTTTGAAATTCATTTGATTCAGTTTCAACTTATAAACAATAAATGTAAATATTCTAAGCAATGCTTATTTTTAAATGTAACGTAGTCAATTAAAAAGTTTCATTGATATTAATATTTTTATAAATAAAGAATGGAGAATTCTAAGAGATGTTAAGGGTAATTTGAAGATTTAAACACTAAAAATATGATGATAATTTAACTATTTAACTATGGAAAGATAATGTGGTATTTAAAATTTTTTATAAAAGTAAAATAATTGATCAAAAGTTTTTATGTTAAGGCACTTTCATTTGAAGTATAGATAGATAAATATAGAAATGTAAATTTATATATATTTTTTGTATACAAGTGCATTACACGTGAATTATTTTTCAAGATCAAATATATTATTGTTATAAAAATTATGAAATAACATCAACTGTACAAATAAACTCTATTTAAATATTTTGTGTAGTATCTAATGAAACTTAAGTCATGGACAAATTTAGCCACATATTAACACATAAAATTAGAGTTTCAATAGTTTACTCCAAATTTAATATCCGTCATTTCTAAAAGAATAACAAACAAAGGAGGTTTATATTATGATAAACTTGGGATTGTCTACCTTAAAATTTACTATCATATTTTTTATGATAAAAAACAAATAATTTGTGAACATTAATTGCTTTATTATTTACTAAAAGACAAATAAGAAATTACACTTCAAAAAAAAATGTCATATATACTTTATGAACATCCTAAAAAATGAATTACCCACAAAAATCTATAATAAACATAGTAAAATTTTGTTTTACCACATTCAAATGATAAAATATATATTATCAAATATTAATATTTGGTATCTTATGTCCTAAAGCAATTCAAAAAACCTAAACAAATCATGATCCACGTGATAGAAGATCACATTTCAATTATTTAACGCATGAGAAAAATCACGTAATTTTTTCTACACATAAGATATAATGCTAATTATGCAAAATGAACTTTTACCATGGAAATTAAACACATAGAAAGTATATAATTTAGAGTAAATAAATCTCAATGTGTCATTTTCATAGTGACCTTCCACCATTAATCACGCTTGTTCATAAATAAAAAACACTTAACAAATTAGAAGAAAAATTTAAAGATGTTAGCGCAAGCCTAGCTCTAAGGAAAAAATAAATCATATGAAAAGAGCAATAACTTATAACCGGATAAAAATATGAGTATGAGAGGATGGAAAAGGAATAAAGTAGTATTACTATTAATTTATGATTGAAATTCATGGGATTAAATATTTGACTATTAGCTATCTACGTAGCCATAAAATGGAAGATGAAATGTTTCGAATTCCATTTGATTAATTACTATATTTGTTGCTAGAAATTTGTATCGTCTGTAAAACTACACATCAATTCATATTAAATAAATGATAAAATAAACTTTTTGATGGTTATCAATGACATAATAGTTGTATTAATGATAATCTATTATGTTTTATAAAGTAAAAATGATTAATGGATTTATTGTAAATAAAAAAGTTTATGAAAAGTAAATGAAAGAGAGATAGCGTCATTAACTCAGGAAATAAATAAAAAAATAGTATAATACGTGGAACAATAATTATTGTGAAAATGAAAATATACGAAGAGTCATTTGAAAATATAATTAATATTAGATAATTAAAAAATAAAAAAAAAGTGCAATACATGGAACAATAATTCTTGTAGAAATAGAAGTATATAAAAAGTCATTTGAATATATAATTAATATTAGGTAATTAAATAAATAAAGATATAGGTGCCTTTAATATTTTTTATGGGAACATAATAGATAATCAAAAGTTTTTTATTTAACTTCCTTTTATTAGTAGTATAGATATTTTTTATTTTTTTTTGGAAGTTATTTTATTTTGATCTTTGGCCCAAGTAAATGGGGAAAATTTTATTTCATCCCTTGACAGATAAAAAAAATTTCAATTTGTTCTTTGAATGATTAATTTTTTTACATTGTCTCCTAAACAAAATATAAACTTTTACATAATAAAGTACAATACAACTCAAATCTCAGTAGATAAACAAAATAACTTTTATTTTTCGTGATTAAGATCTCTTTAAATTTTATTTTAAAGTTAATATGACAATTAATATTAACACCCCAAATTTAATAGGAAAAATAGGAGTCTAAAGGGTGTGTTTAAAGTGACTTTTTAAAAATGATCATTTGAAGGTCGGTATCTTTATGTAAACTTATTTGGAATTAAGTTCGCTCAAAAAACTTATTTGAGAGTAAATTCATTTTGATTTTCATTGTTCAAAATACCATCAATAGTTATATTTAATCAAAACTTGTTTGAAAAAACTAACTCCTTCTAAATTGGGAATTGTATTAATATTAACAACTTATAACTTGAAAATTGTGTTAGCATTAAAATTATTTTTCTATACTCACATAAGGTGTCACCATACGTGAGTATAGAAAAAAAATGCTCAATAAAAAATAATAAAGTAACACCATACGTGAGTACTTATTTTGTAGTGGGCAAGACAATAGTTTTAAGTACTCACATATGGTGTCACTCTATTATAATGATTAAATTTTTAAATAAATTTTTTATTGAACATATTACTATTTGATGTTGTTATATATATAATAGAAAAATAATTTTAATCCTACCACAATTCCCAAGTTAAGGAGTTGTTATATTTGAAAATATTGAAATTAACAATGATATGCAAAATTTATGGTAGGGGTAATTAGGTAATATTAAAAAACACTTAAAATGTGTACTTAATGATAATAATTTGATGAAAAAGAGGACTTAATGCGATATAAATCTGGCTGTAGTACTTAAAGTTGAATATATTTTACAAAAGGTACTCACGACCAAATATCTACTTTAAAAATGCTTTTAAGATTTATAATTTTATCATAAATACTTTTAAAAAAAGTCGTGTTTTATAACTACTCAACTATTATTACTATCATCATCACCCCTACCACCACCATCACCACTACCACCACCGTCACCACCCCATTGCCATAACAACCCTTACCAACACTAGCACTAGCACCAACCCCACCCCCCACGCCCCCCACCATTATCACCACTACCACCACCACTATCATTACCCACATCACCACCACCACCTCATTACCACTTTTGCCACAAAAACCATCACTACCACCGGCCCACCACCACCATCGTTGTTTTCACTGTGACACTCCAAAAATCAGGGGCCTTTTGTCAATCGTTAACCACCCGTCAACCTGTGGAAGCACCTCTGATTGTCGCACAACTCGACATCACGTCAATAGCTTCCTCTTAACTGGGATTATAACTCACATGTGTCACATGTGTTTATTTTACCATTTGACCCAACCGAGGTCCAATATACCACAATTCATACTCCATTATAATCCATTTACATCATCTGAATAAAAGGACGCGTAGCCCAAAAGCATGGCAAAACATTCTTAAAATTTCAAATTTTTGGAAAATCTACCAGTAGGTTAATGGTCTACTGGTAGGTTAAGGTTCTACCCATTGGACAAAGTTCTATCGGTAGGTTGATGTTCTACCGGTAGGTTTATATTCTACCGGTAGGTTTTGCCTGCTGGACAACGTTCTACTGGTAGGTTTTGCCCAGATTTGCCTGTTTCACTTATTTTTAATTTTCAATTCATTCCAAAATCCACCCAACTCATATAACATATATTTGTATGTCAAACATTGTTAATATAAGTTCTATTACAATCATTTTCATACGATTACGTGCCCAAAACATAATTTTCACAATTGTTTTACAAAATACAGTTTTAAAGCCACAAGTCGGTTTTTCTTCATCTTTGAGGCCCCGAATGAGAGCCTTCCCCTGACGTGTATCCTGCACCTTAAATGTTGTCTCATAAAGGGTGAGTCACGCTCAATACAGTATCTCCTACAGAGGTTACTCCCTAACCTAGATGCATATATGAAATGTCACATGCAACATTTAACAAGCAACAACCATTCTAATTAAGATTAAGCAAGTTTATGTTGGAATCTAACATGTCATGCCATGATATGAGATGACACCCACTCATGCAACTCAACCTGAGCCCTCACTAGCTCTTTTTATCCATGCAATGTCATGAGTATAAAATCGGGTTTTGCTAGCCCCTGTCATTGATGTTACCCTTCCAATGACTACTTAAAAATCTCTGGGTCTTTCTTGGGATGAGTATTTATGGATTTACACCAACGGCACCCAACCGACACGGAATTTATGAACTTTCACCAACGGTTCCGCATACACCAACACACTTTATGGGCTCTTATACCAATGGAGTGCGTATCCAATCACTCGGTCTCTCACCCGAGGGATAGTCTAGCCTTTCTTGCTAATCTCGACCCAATTTTCATGCAACTGTGAGACTCAGTTGGATGTTCAATCCAACTTTTCTGAGCTCACCCATCAACCACT